CAAAAGAACCCAACTGAAGGTGTATGTTTCAGGGATAATAGAGAGTCCGAAAAATATGATGTACGGGCATGGAACATAGAGGGAGAACAAAGAAAGATCATTGCCCGATAGAGGGTAGATTCAGAATTTTTTATCGACCACAATGCCATCTATACCGGCAGAATTGAAGAAATAAAAATAGACCACGGAAGAATAAGGCCAATACTCACATATGTTGCGCTTTGTGGCTGGAGACCCTGACAGTACCCGTCGATCAAACTCTAATGCATACACAAACAAAAAATAATTCTATACAGCATCGGTCGTCGCGCAGGATAATCACGAGCGCGCTGCCAATTGCATCGAGCGGGAGGGGTAGTGATAGATGGGCTGGCGCTCGGAAATCCCAACAATTGTTCAACTCTTAGTCTTCCGTACCCAACCCTCTCCCTTTACATCCTAATCCGATCGGTAACGTTCCGTCAGACAACTTGTTCGTCACTCGCCATTACTCGTTGACAAGTAGCGCGGTAAGCAGTTCACACAAAAGATAGCAGATTCTGAAGCCTCGTCAATCAGCACCGTAATCATCCTAAAGCGAAATACAGTGAAGAAAACTTCACTGATCGCTGCCAAACTCGCAATATATACAAGGTTGTTGGTAATACTTAAGGTGGACAGGGATTGAAGGAGGAGGAAGGTGAACCTCCGTGGTCAACACAGAGTGAACAATCGAACTCTGCATACATACCGTTTCAAGCAGTCTGGTCGGGTAAGAAATGACTAAAAAACGCTACTGCTGTCGGTTCGGTGCCATATCCTTCAATGTCTCCAACCAACCAATTGCGGAGTCTCTCGGACCCCAACCCGGAGGAAGGGAGACATACTTTACCTAATGGCTCTGTGCATTTCTTCATGCCTCGTTCGCACGTCATCTGTCGACCTCCACGTGGTTTCCTCCAGCCCGAAGCGGCCACAGGAAATAAGGCGCGATGTGATAGACGGCAGCTGGGCATACACAATACGTGCCATAGCCAGCGAATTCTACTAATCTAAATTCGATGTGCTAGTATGTTTATCCCTGATAGACTCCCAAACACAAGACGTCTTACCTCCAGATTACAAACCCGTTCGTTCCATTCGATGTGAACTAAAGTGTATAAACACCGATAGTGGAAATCTTCTGGTCGATGGATATCTACTGGCAAATTCAAGGTCTCACAACCATAAAGCAGGACTGAACGAACGCTAGCACAATATACACAACCTTTCAACTTCAGTGAAATGTCACGTCTACGCCAAAGGTGTTTCAGTCTGGCGTATGCTGCTCCAGTCTTCGGAATGCGAGAAGCTATCTCCGTTGCTGCGCTTCCGTGATTGGTCACGCAAATACGAAAAGTACGCAAAGTGATCCCCTGCAATTAATCTCTGATCATGTAGTTTCATAGCGGGAGTGGGCGACATCCAGTCATGCAGCATCACTTTGCACTTTGAAGTTGCAAAGCACATACCGAATGTGGCAACCGCACTTGTTAGTCTATCAAGTGCATATGCGCGTCCTGCGTGCATTCGAAGAGACAGACGATGTCATCGGCGTACTTCAAATAGCACAGCTTTGTTCCAGCTGCCCATTCAATGCCTACATTTTGGAGACCACTTAGTGCGTTCTTCAGTATTTTGTCTACGACAAAATTAAACAGGAACGGCGAAAGAGGATATCCTTGACGAACGCTGCTGCTGGTGACGAACGATCTACTCAGTTCGTTGTAAACCCTCAATCGATCAAAGGAGTTCAGTGACCTCAGTATGTTAACGTACTTCTGGGGCATTCCTTTTCGAAGAAAACCCATTAGAACATCACGTCAATCACTGAATTTGGGGGCCTTCGACGTGAGAACACTGATGCTGGTAGATCAACAAGCAGGTCTGGCGCGTACAATGGACTCTTTGGGAATGGATATCTGCTGTCGGAGATGTGAATTCAAGAACCAGTACGATAAACCTTTTAAGTGCACCAGAGTTGCCTTCGAGGTACTTACTC